CGACTAATGCACGCGGTGCAGCATGTATATTCGATTACCAGGTTCTCGTCAAACGTCGAAAGCCTCATCACCATACTAATTAGCCGTCCAACTAATGGGAAGTATAAGTCAGAGGTCGTGTCACGCTTATCTCCCTTCGGTAAAATACACGAGAGGAGCGGAGTCACTGCTGGGAGAAAGAGAAAGGGAGAGAGCGAGAACAGGAGCGAGAGAGAGGAGAGAGGGGGGGGAGGGGGAGGAAGAAGAAATCTCGAAGAGATCACGAGAGAAACGAGCGAATGAATTAAACGTAAAACTGCATTTATCAGATTTTCATTTATTGAAGCTAAGTCGGATTGTATTTTTATATTGATACATCTCTGATTATACACCTTGTAAATTTGTCGATCTTCATTCCTCGATTTTTAAATTCATAACTTTTTAATTATTAATTATTCGCGTATTTTTAGATGTGATTTTTAAATGTCTGCCCTTATAAATTCTTAATGAGTAATAAATCTGAATGTATGAATCTTTTTTTCCTTTGTATACAGCTTTCGAGTTTATACTTTCATTCAGATCACGAAGCTCTTCGTCAACCTTCCCGATAATTTAAAGATTTATGAGATCAAGTACTCTTATTTTCGTCCTATTTCTCATTTTTTATCCTTTCGCGTTTTTATAAGTCTCCGTTTACGTCCAAATCTTATCCTCTTTTTTTCCCCGCACATTTTCAATCTTGCGAACTCATTGAACTCAGGCCGGAATTTCCGCGACACGCAGATTCTCACTTCCAAAATCTGTTGCATCAACGTCCTTAAAAAGTTCCGTCGAAACTCTTTTTTGCCCCATAAATCTGCCGCGACGCAGACGTTCTCGTAAATCGCGACGAATCTGCCGGATTATTCTGATAAATGCAGTCCCGCAGTTACCAGGAACAAACCAGAAAGGAGGAGCACGCGAGGGTGGCAAGTGCAAGTGGGTGGTGGGTGGGAAAGGGGGAAACGAGGAAACCTCGCAGAGCGCGCGTTAGTCGATGAGATTCAACACTAGTTCAACGCAGCCGCATGTTAATCGTGTATTAAGCCAACCGACAGACGGACACACCGCTTCGAAAACTCGTGTACTTGTACCTATGCGTTTCCCGCGGGTATATTCGACCCCGAGGGGGTCTATATACTCCCCCAGCGTCTTCAGAGGCGAGTCTCATCTAGAAGGAGAGTGCGTGATTTGCGCCTGCATGGGAATACGTCAGGGTTTCTAGTGAGTCGTCGACTCGAGGCAACGGGATAGCTTGACAGCTCGATCCCACCGAGCGATCATTTATCTTATTGTTATTTACCGTTTGGCCGATTATAACATCGTGCAAAAGTTAAGCCTAGTTAAAGTAATTTATGATTAGTGTTGCTATATGAATTTTTTTTTTTAAGCAATTTTAATATTACCTTGATAAATGGTTATCTCTTGTTACAGAGATCCTAAATAAAGATATCTTTTTATTATTTTTTTTCAAACGATGCAAAACGTTCTGCAAAAATGTAAAATTTTTCTTCGATAAATTCGAAGATTGTAAATTCCTCGTGTCCAGTTTATTTTTTTCCCAAGTCATTTTAATGAAAATTTCGACCCTTCTTTTTCCACTGTTGCGTTATCGTTCTCGAGATTTTTTGGCGTGATTTTTTTTCCCGTAAAAAAAAAAATCGCGACCCGTGAAAGGAGACGCCCGGACGAAGCTGTCCAAAGTAAACATCGATTATCGGCACTTACCGTTGCTGAGCTCCTCGTAGACAGGATTATAGAGGTCCTGCGATGTGTAAGGATCAGGACCGGGGCTGCTGCAGACGAACACCCCTCTTCCGCCCTCCTTGACGTCCAGCATCTGCCGTGATAACAAAAGTGTAAGTTAGAGAAAAAGAGGACGGATGGCGCGACGTGGAGGACGACGAACGCGGAGGAAGAAATATTTCTGAACGTTGCGCATTTTCCGTAGAATTGCTATCAAATGACGTATCCGTGACTTACATTTTTCATACAGCAATGTAAAAAATACTAACGGGGCAACGTGAATATTAGAAATCGATGAAGCTTCAGTGAGTAATTGAAGATCCGGCAGTTATACCGCCGTGATTCATTTTACGTTCAATTGCAATCTCAATTCTATCGCGATATAATAAATTACACGTCGTTTGAGAATTAAGACCGCCGCCATTTTCTTCCTCGCTTCGCGGGGTTGAAGGGTAATTAGTCCCGGGTTGTGACTAAAAATAGGTCAGCTCGTTACAAACGAGCCGAGGGTTCGCTTTTCCACGGTTATTTTACGAGGCTCTTTAGGAACGGCGACTTGTTTACGACAACGTTGGAAAACAATTAGCGAATAAAGGAAAGGGATGCGGAGGATGGGGTACGAAAGGGCAGGAGGGAGACTAGTGAGAAGAAATGGAAGGGGGTTGACGAGAACCTTAACACTCTTTTAGCCTCCGTACTTTCCGGCCGACGATTAACTCGTTTCTACTCCTCCTCGCTCCTCGAACCTTTTGTCTATCGAGCCGGAATTCCAACCCCGGAAATGCTGACTCGGAAAACCGGAAAAGTGGGGGTGTCGAAAGTTAATCCCTAAATTGGCAAGATAATAAGGAACAATCTCGTCGCACAAAAAAAGGAGAAAGATATTCGGTTAATCCTATGTTAATCCTATTTCCTGGTACTTTTCTTGACAGGTTAAACAATTAATTTCGCTTGTGGCAGTTTTCTAATTTGATGAGATTTTAAATCGTCTTCCACGATAAAAATATCTATCCTTGACAGATTGCGTTTTCGCGATCATCGATGCATTAGAAATTTCATTATCTATTTCAAGAAGAGGGTTTCCTTTTGGAATCTCCTTGCCGCAGGGGGCGAAGGTTAATCGAAACACCCGATAGACAGCAGGGAGGAGCGTGTGTAACCGATACACGACATAATCGCGGACGCGATTTAATCCCTTCGCCTCGTCCTTGTAAATGGCTCGTGTGTCGTCGTCGCAAGCCTGCCGCAAGCGGTTTCCGGTCTCCATGGCGGCGGTATCTCTGTCCCGGCGATGGTTTCCGAGCTGAATCCCGTCACCAGCTGGTTCTCCGGTTCGGCCGAGGTGTCGCGTTAACGGGAGCAAATGACGCTGCGATCCCCAATCTATCTCGCTATCACCCCCACTCGTCCGGGGGTGACCATAACTGTCCTATGATCCCACCGGATACCACCCGCACGGCGATTGAAACCGGTCTAATTTCGGGGAGATCAATTTTCCGTGTGATATATAACCGAATACACGTTCCGAAAGCCGGATTTCAACTTGATGTATTTCATTCCCCAAAGACATAGAAAAATACATTGGAAATTAGGAAAGCTGTGTCCAGGAAGGAAAAATAAAAAATTGATTCACGCACTCCTACGCACGACTTTCGTTGCGTCCCCTTGACGTATCCAAGTTAAATTTTTCCCTGATAATTCTGATAATTTTACCCGAAAACCACCCACGCGATTTCCCGCGAGAGATCTCACCGCGAATGTTAATTCATAATTTATATTTCCTCTTTCGCGAGGATATATTTGTGTCGATATGTTTGTCTTGAAATCGTAATGTAGTTTCCCGCAAAACGAGATGATCGCGAATGCGTGACGTAAATTGACGATTCGCGCGGGGGTTGAAATATCGCCGATAGCACGTGGGAGTATCGGATCCATGCGAGGGCGGGCTTTCTGTGTTTCTATCTAAAATTATATCTCCCGAATTGTGCACGAGTCGCGCTTCCTGTCGCCTGTTCCTCGGACGAACGGACAAATGGATACGATCGGATCGGATATGTCGTTATATAACAACGCCGTGTCTATTTTCCGCACTTTCTCGCGAGATTCGTCGTGTAATCGCGCGTCGCGGCGGAAGCATGACGTATAAAAGATGCCCTCTCTGTGTTAAAAACGCGATGGAAACGTGGGCCGAAAGGTCGAACGTCGTCGTCGATTTTACAAAACATTGAAAATAAAATAAAAAAAAAAAAAAAAAGATGGATAAATTCTGTCGAGTTGCGTCCGGTCTCTGGCGAGGCCAATCGATCGCGCAGTTTCATTGTGCACAGAAATATCGCGAAACACAGTTTTATACGTAGGTACCGCGCGATATCCCCCGAATAAAATACTATTTTACGCGCGCGCTATCGGTTAGCGTATTATGTTGCAACAATCGTGGGGATACGAAAGCATATTGAAATATCTTCAATTTACCAATATGTTGCACCAGATTCGTATTTTCACGCGTGTGAGTGTATACTTCTATACACCCGCGTGCTGCCCACTACAAAAGCCAGGGGTAAATATCGAGATTAAAGTTAGAAATTTTCGCGGACGTTGTATTTATTATTCGATTTAAAATCCAAATTCGAATATTTATTTATCGCATTTTTCCAAGGAAAAATAAATAAATACATATAATTTAATCTAATTTCTCCCAGGAATTAAACCATTCTAATTTGATTTTTTTTTTTGATTCTATCCACATCCGTTGCGGAATCGACCGGATTTTTTTTACCGACTCGACTATCTGCTATTCGATCTTCTATCTGCGGATGCAATCGAGTGTTTGTAAGGATGCTCTCGCGGAGTGCACAAATTGCCGGAATCGAGTTAGCTGCTCGGTGGTCCGCGCGGGGACGATTAGAGGCAAAGGAAACCGGGGACCGGGGTTTCTTGCACCCTCCATTGAATTCCTCGAGGCTATCGTCCACCGAAAGAAAAGGATCCCTCGTCTCCGCTGGCAAGTGCCGGCGGCCTTGAAAGAGGCACGAGGTTCATTATCGTGTTTAGTCTGCAGGAGTCGTCAACCGGGAGTCTACGATTTTTCGAGTGCTCATCTCACTTAACTTTATAAAAATCACATATAATTGTTTGAAATATAATTTTGTGTTTTCCATTGTTTTTTTTTTTTTTATTAGAGATCGGAATATGGAATTTATATTGCTCGATAAAAAAAGAAAGATCGAAAGAATATTTTGTATTATGTAAAATGTAATAATTTGCTTCGTTTAATATTATTAAATAAATTCAATAATAATTTAATCCGTTCCGTTTTAATATTATTTATATTTGAATAAATCTCTTTTCGCATTTCTCTGCTTAATATTAACAAAATACGATTTAATTAAATTGTGCAAGAATTTTTCACATATAGAGAGCTGAAACACAATTTTCAGTTTTTACTTGCGTTCTAGTGACAAGATAATTTTTATTTAAACGCCCTCTCTTATGAGAAATAGAGTCGGGTCTTTCGAAAGTCGAGTTACGAGTTCGCCAAGTCGCGTGTCCAACCTTCGACCTCTCGGAATTGAGTTAGGCACCATTAGCGCGAGAGCTCGAGATAGAACGAAGGCAGAACCAGGTTTCCTGAATCAAACTTCCGCTCATAGCTCATCTAAACGGCGCGAAATGGCAAGAAGACTTCTCCAGTCGTATAATGAAATTTAGTTTACGTTAACGAACAGAACAAATAAAGCTCGAAATTATCGCGAGTCGTATCAAGTTCGGTCGTATTACCCCCGCATAAGTTTTAATATGCAAAACTTTTTCGCAATCTTTTGAAATTGCTAGTTACGCCTCTACTCCAATTTTAATATTAAATTTCTTATTTCCCGCAATTTCATTTGGAAATATTCCGACGGGAGGATAAAATAATCTCGCATTTACCGAGAAGAACAGAAGGCAGGCCTCAGCGCCGCCCCTCGTAAAGGCACTGCCGCATTTTTCGGCGAGTTATGAGAGTTGGCAAAGTTCCACACGTTCGGAGAATTTTCAATCTTCCGGCTGAGAAGTTCGATATTCGGTCGGTTTCACTCGCGCGCGCGCGCGCGCGCGCGCACGGACCTGATTATCCTAATGATTTTACGGTACCCGATGCGAGTTTTACTTGGCCGAAGAAGCGAAACGTGTAAAAAAACGCGGCCGTACTACTTCTCCTTCCTCCTTCGTTCTCGTCTTTCTCGTTTTCTTCCTTCGCCGGTATTAAAATTCTATGTCTGTTATACGTCCCCCATAATGGCCGGGCTGGTGCTCGCGGGGACCTTTGAAAAGTTGATCGTTTTAATGATCCCGCGGTCCCCGCAGGCGGCCGGCACCTCGCTAAACTTAGATCTTCTCTTGGACGTCGGCGACAGTGCATACTTAAAGCGTCTTAAGCCGATATAAAAAGGAGAGACGGGATCGCCCTCCCGTCCTTCCACCTAACTGCGAAAGTTCGCGACATAAATAATCGAGAACTTTTCTGAATTAATTCCGATCGATCGGGAAATCCAATGAAATTTCAACGAAAAAGAAAAAGGAGACTTTTCGACGAATGTTTGACATTAATTGTGCATTTGAGAAACAGCGAAAAATACAAAAATTTCCAAAATACCTATTCTTGATCTTTTTAATGAAATTATTCTTTACATCAAACGTGACAAACAATGTTCTTTTCGAACATTCGATAAATTTATATCTAACACCTCTCGACATTCATCATTTCGTGTATACATGTAAAGACAAGCGGCAACTGTCGGCTTCGGTGTCCTACATACCGTGAATAATATTGAGCTATTAGCATATGCGAGACTTACGTATATATATATATATATATATATATATATATGTATATGTATATGCGCCGATATTTCGTGATTGTATCTCGTTACCGTAACCCGCTAATTGTTAGTTACTGCGCCAATTGCATTAGATTCTAATTCCGGGATGGTCAGCCCCCGCTCCCCCGCCATTGTGTCGTTACTGCTTTGCAGATACAACATCCCGGGCTAATGACGCGGCACGCGTAATCGAGCTGACAACAGGTGGAAGTTAGATCAATAGACTTCCGCCAGT